CCAAAACCCTCAACCCTGAACCTTCAAGCCCAGACCATAAACCCCTCACGGGCCTTGTTACCGAGGGAGTCTGTCCATTGTCCCTTGAACGCATCCGGACCTCTGCTGTGGGCTTCAGGTGTTGGGGTAGCGTAGGGTTCAGGGTTGGTGGTTTTGGGTTTTGGTATGTAGGATTTGGGGTCCAGGGGCTTTGGGTTTTGGGGTGTAGGATTTAGGGTACTGCGTCGAAGCGCGAGCTGTTTCGGATGCTGTACTCCTTCCCAACAGCTTATCCCATGCATGCTCGCACCAAACCTCTAAGCTGGACCCGACAATCTGTGCTACGCGAAACACCCTAAATCCCGAATGACCTCAGGAACCCTAAACCCGAAAGCCCCACGGAAACCAAAACAACAAAAAATCAAGTGCCAAACTCAAACACCTCGACCCACCCAGCAACCCCGTCCCCACTCACCTAGGCTTGAAACTCAACACCCTCAGCCCTAAACCGCAGGTTTTAAGACCGCAGCACCAACAAAATTAGAGGTCCCAGGCGCTCAGGGACCTGATCTCAGGCTCCGTGGCAGCCCTCGGGGCCATGCCCACCTGAAACGCTCAGAGCTTGAGGGGGAGGAGGGGGGGTGTTTGTAGAAGGTCTTTTCCTCTGCGTGTTTTGAATAAGCAAAGCCCTTTTTTAAAGGGGCTTGCGGCTTTCGAATGGGATTTGAGGTTTCAAAACAGGCTTCACGGCTTCATGAAGGATGTTCATTCCACAAACACAGGCTTCACGGCTTCATGAAGGATGTTCAGATTCCACAGAAAGCTCTAGGGCTCAGGGTTGAGGGTTGTACCAGTATGTTGTGCAGTTTGGGACTTTCTAGCTTGGGAAGGGGGTGCATTACTACAGGAGGTGGAAGGATTTTGATAGAGTCTCTAAGGGGCTGACAGTCTTAGAGGCTTACAGGCTTTTGAGGTTGCCCAAAAGCTTGAAATTGATTTCGCCATTGGGTGGTTAGGATTGATAACAACCGTAATATTGAGAATACTAAGCGCATAAAACATGCAGTTGAGTTGGCTTAATAGTAGTCGCATAATCACCATAACAATCAAAATGATAAGAGCAAGCATTCTGCGCATTTCACTGCCATAACGGAGTCTTGCAGAGAAGGCTCTGGGAGACCAGCACAGCCAGAAAAAACAACATCAAAGTGCCAGACCTTCAATCTTTTGGGGGGTGCTTTCGAAACATATGTGATTGTTCAACAAAGCCACCCTTTCATAATTTCAGCTGCCTCGACGCTTAGCAGAGAGTCCCTGAAGCGCGGACACTACCGGGCACGCGATGTAACCAAAGATGCCGTTGGAAAGAGGAAGTGTTGAAGCAGTTCAACTACCAGTTCTACACTCGGTGTAAATGCTGCTTTGCGTGGTCCGGCTGTTTCACCCGATAAGCGGAAGAGACACGTTCCCCGACAATCACGCGGCGAGTCAGCGGTCTGAAGACCCGAACTCCAAACCCAATTCGAAAAAACACAAGCCTAAACCCTCAACCCCAGCCCCTAAACCTGAAACCCTCGACCCCTACAGGCCTTAGTTGGACCCCTGAACCCTAAACCTTAAATCCCAAAATCCCTACACTCCTACATCCTGAATCTTAAACCCTACATCCCGAAATCCCATCCCAGACCCCCCAAACCCTAAACCCTAAGCCCTAAACCCCTAAACCCCAAACCCGAAAACCACGAGACCCCGAACCCTAAACCCCTAAACCCTAAACCCTAAGCCCTAAACCCCTAAACCCTAAACCCCAAACCCTAAAACCACGAGACCCCGAACCCTAAACCCCAAAACCCTAAACCCCGAACCCTAAACCCCTAAACCCTAATTAAACCGCAAACCCTAAAACCACGAGACCCCGAACCCTAAACCCCTAAACCCTAAACCCCGAACCCTAAACCCCTAAACCCTAAACCCCAAACCCTAAAACCACGAGACCCCGAACCCTAAACCCCTAAACCCTAAACCCCGCACCCTAAACCCCTAAACCCTAAACCCCAAACCCTAAAACCACGAGACCCCGAACCCTAAACCCCTAAACCCTAAACCCAAAGCCCTAAACCCCTAAACCCTAAACCCCAAACCCTAAAACCACGAGACCCCGAACCCTAAACCCCAAAACCCTAAACCCCGAACCCTAAACCCCTAAACCCTAATTAAACCGCAAACCCTAAAACCACGAGACCCCGAACCCTAAACCCCTAAACCCTAAACCCCGAACCCTAAACCCCTAAACCCTAAACCCCAAACCCTAAAACCACGAGACCCCGAACCCTAAACCCCTAAACCCTAAACCCCGCACCCTAAACCCCTAAACCCTAAACCCCAAACCCTAAAAGCACGAGACCCTAGATCTCCACAAGCGCAAGCAGCAAGGCCTCCCGCCAGGGCGGGGATATGTCGCCTCAGGCTCGACTGCTTCGTCTTTCCCCTGGTTTCGGGCTTCGGGGCCTAAGGGTTCAAAGAGGGTTAGTATAGGGCTTAAGGTTCTTTTGCTTTTGTAGGGTTTAGTTTAGGGTTTATATAGGGATTGAAGTTTATATGGAGTTTTGGGTTTAGGGTTTATATTGAGTGCAGGGTTTAGGGTTAAGTGTTGTAAGTCTAAACTCCAGGACTCACAGAAACCCCCTGGAGCTGCAGAAACTCTGCCCACAGGGCTTCGTGTCCAGGTTTTTAGGGCAGAAAAGCCTGATGACGAGGATGGAGGCAGCACTAACTCATAATCAGAATACCAATAATAACGATAATAAAATAATACTTACTAATAACAAAATTAATGCTACTACTCTTAGGAATAATAATGACACAAGGACGGTCAGGCAGATGATCTGGGCGTCTCCGCTGATAGCAAACCAGATGATCAATAGCGGCCTTGATTGCTCCACTACCATACGTGCCCTGGTGTCTGAGAACACTGCCAAGAGGTGGTGCTTCCGTGAACGCCCTCTGCGGCATGTCCACGACCTCGGAAGGCGAAAATTTCTGTAATTCTGATGGTCGCTATCAGCACCATAATTACCGCACTGCTGCTGCGACCGCGACTAAACGTACGACTACTTCGACTGCGACTACGACTGCTACTACCGCCACCACAAGTACTACCACTACCACCACTACCACCTCTACCAACACCACCACCATGTCCAGCAGAATCCACGACTACGAGCTACGGCGACTACGACAGCGATGGCGACTGCAACTGCCTACAACACGAAACCCTGAAGCCGCAAACCTCGAGAAAGTGAAAGGACCCAAGCCTACCAACAACGACTTGCGTGTGGAAGCCCACTTCACCAAACCGGCCAAAAACAGAATAGAATAGAACAGAATGGAATAGAATACGATACAATACAGTCTGATACTATCGAACAGAATAGAACAGAACAGAACGGCATAGACTAGAACAGAATGCCATAAGGCTCGGAGTTTCAGGACCTTGGCTCGAAACCGCTGAAAGAGAATGACGAAAGCATGGTAATGGATTTAGCGTTTATGGGCTTCGGGTCTTTGGGTTAAGGATTTACAGTAGGGTTTTGGGCCTAGAGCCACAGGGTCCTTAGTTCAGGGTTTAAGAAGTTTAGGGTTTAGGGTGTTGCGCCTTAGAGTTTTGGGTCTTGGGTTTCGGCGCGAGGGCTGGAAAAGAAGCCCTGGCCTGCTGGTTATGCACTCGATGAGAAGCATCGGCTAGCCATCCCTGGCTGCGAGTTCGAACTGCTGGGACAGAACCCTAACATCTTTTGCTCTTTGCAGGCTTTAAAGGACGTAAAGCTACTGGATGTCTCCAAGCCCTTAGAGAGGCCCCAGTCAAGCGTGCGGTTCGTAAGGAGCGACAGCTGCTGACGGGTCCTGTCAGATTTAGGGTCGACAGAGGTCGAAGAACAAAAGGTGGCCTATCACTCCTCAACCCCTACTGTAAAGCCTTTTTCTGGAACCCTAAGACAACAACCCTGCGATCCCAAGACCCGTCAGGGCTCTCCCCAACTCTTGGCCCAAAAGACCTGCAGGGAATCTCTGGGTTCCTCCTTGAATGTTTACGGCACAATAGGTCCCCCATAACGACCCCAAAACTCGTAATAGTATCCGTATCGGCTTCTGATTCCTCAGTTCACTTCTAGTAGAGTGGGGGGAAGGGGCAAAGAGCAAGCCAGATCCACCTGGGCTTTGGCGATGGTCGGTCGACCTGGTCGAAGGTTTTGAGCTTCAAAGCTCCGGCTTTGGCGTTTGGGATTTCAGGTTTAGGGTTTGGGATTTAGGGTTTAGGGTTTGGGATTTCGGGTGTGGAGTTCAGGCCTTCGGCCGTAGAGTCTAGAGATGCGGACTGCAGGTGGCTCTGTTCGCTCAACCCAAAGATAAAACTGTTCAACTCTCGCTCAAGCTCGTTTTCACCTGCATCTGTCCATCAGCATTCCATCAGGCTAACAAGGGGCCCCTGCAATTGAGATAAATGCAACGGGCAAAAGTATGTGAGTTCCATGAAGGGCACACTCTGCACAAATCACAGCCCCTAAGAATCGTTCATGGAAACTCACCGGCGATTATAGCCGCGCTGTACACGCTCCTCCAAACGGTCTTGAAGAGACTGACTTTCAGCGACGATCTGGTAAGTGCCGGTCGTGAGCAAGTTGTACATGGCATCTAAGCAGGCACTTTTCTTAGTCAGCCCGTCCACAATCATGTTTGTGTGTGGCACCCATCTCACACTCGCACCAATGGCATTCATGTTCTGCCGAACAACCTGGATTTCCAAGCTGGTGCGCTTATCTTGTGAAGGTCCAACGCTTTCACGGCTAAGATGGTCGAACAAAGCTTTCGCATCCACAATGCACAGACTTTCTTGAAGCAGAGAATCTGCATCTTCTGAGCCAATCGCCACGATGCGGTTGTGCTTAAGCGTGTCCTCCCACTTGGAGATCTCGAACTGAGCGTCCATGAGCTCATTGAACACTGACGCAACCCAGCACAACTCACCGAGGCCCTTTGACAGACTCTGCGTCTCCGCCGCCAAGGTCGAGTTCACAACCTTCTGGATCCTGCCACTTTTCCACGAGATCAGCGAACAATCCACTCTCTCGCCCGTCATGAAGTCCTTGGTGGTAGGCGAGGATGCCGTAGGCGCCTTGTGAGCCGCCGCCATGAGCATTTGCGAAGCTCGCATCACTGATCACACCCCAGCACAGATCCTTCACGGGAATCGGCTGGATCTTAATGCTGAGCTCCGGTCGGGACTTAACCGTCTCCACCGCACGGTTCACATCCAAGATGTCTTGAATCGTAGGATTCGGAAAGGACGCTGCACCGAGTGATGCTGCAGCTGCTGCGTCGGGACGACACTCCCTCGCACACCAGTTGAGCGATCCAATGACCGCTCTGAGCTGTCCGATTTCGGACTGGTTGGCGAGCTCCTTCGGATTCGACTTTCGGCCCTTAGCCAAAGACACTGGTGACAACCGCTCCGTGACGAATTTCACCATATCAATTTCTAGCCCAAAGTTCTGGTGCTGCTTGATGCGCCTTCCGTTGAAAGATACCCCATTTGGGTTGCCCATTAATGGTTCGAATTTGCCGAACTGGAAGACCTTCTGCAGTGCATTGATACGTTCATCATGTACACTGTCACCACATGTAAACAAATCATCGACCTCAACCGCAATCACCCCGGACAGAACCAGAGTATCTGCATCTGCGCGGTCCTTGATCATAAGCTTGGCCTCTCGGTCTTCACCGGGCTGGAGTTCACGATGGAGCATATAAATTGTGGGGTCCAGGGTCGTTTCGCGATACCCTAACTTGAGAATCTCCTGCTTCAGAGTCCGACGCCAGTGGGAAGGGGCGTCGCCTAGGCCGTACATGCCCGCCACGATTTCCACGATTTGTTCCGGGTGGAGTCCCGGAATCCCGCCACGCGGTTGTGCCGCGTATAGCTTGCCCTCTTTGCGAACCAGCAACCCTGACTGGCAAAAGGCGTTGCGAAGATCACCAACGCTCGCTGGAAACCTCATACTGGCCGTCACTTGGAGCACGGCTCCAAAAGTAGTGGAGTTGATCGTAGGGCTGTAACGCTGCAGCAAATCGGGATCACAATCACCACGCAAACACCAACGTGATTTCAGCCCGTCCGGCATGCCTGGTTGGTCTGCCGGCTTGAAGCGCCTGACCATGCGTGATGGGAGCACCCTGTCACTCTTCCCACTCGCTGCAAGCTCCGCTTTGACTTTCTTGGACTCCTCAACAGACAGGACCCGAATGGCCCCTGTCGCCTCCACTTTCTGCCACTCTTGCAGATCAGACTCATCCCACTTAGGTCGGTCCTCCGGCTTGATTTCATGATCAAACACTTCCCCTTGACCCCTCGGCTTGCTCGCAAAGGCCTCCGTGTCGATCACATGGTTGCTGAACACAGTGAAGCCAATCCAGCTCTCCTGGGTGGTTCCCGGGTTCTTGCGCTGCTTGAACCAATTGTCCACCTTGATCTCCATACGCCCGTCATCATAGACCATGAAGGTGTGACGATGCTTCAGCCGCCTCGGCATAACCATGCCACGGACCTTGTTGGGGTTGCACAACCGAGCTCGAGGAACATTGTGATATCGAACCACAACATCATTGTTGACATTCTCCCACACGTCATGCGCGAAAACCCAGCCCCTCTCCTCATCCAAGGAAAACCAAGCCTGGCTTGACCCCGACTCCGTGGATCGAACCGTCTGCAGTAGGGCTTGCTGGGCCGGTGCTGCATAAGCTTGCGAACTGCATCATAGGTGGGAGTTCCCGGGCCATTGCCGTCCAACCGCTCGTTGTGCTCCACAGACCTTGTAGCGTCAAGGTCAAGCTCCAATGGACCATGTGCACCACCTGAAACTTCCCGCTCGGGCTCCTCCTCCACATCGCTGACCGCGTTCTGCGAACCAACAGCCGACGGGCTGTAGTCATCCAGATCTGGATCATGTCCATCTGGCACTGGAACTTGAACAGGGTCCTCAAACTGCACCCGGGCTCGCTGAGCTGGAGGAGGTTGATCTCGATCGTCATCATCACCATCATCATCTGGTAGCCCTCCATCACAGACATCCTTGTAGGATCGTTTGAGCCCGTTCCGCACGAACTCTTGACGAAGTGCCTCGAGCTCACCTGCAAGCAACTCCTTGGCCATCTGCTCCTCGGAAGTAGCAGGTCGACACTGTTCAGATGATGCTTTCCAAAGCTCGCCCCGCATGCTGATCCAAAGATTTGGACCATCAACTGCCAACACCACTCCAGGCCCAACCCATGCTGGTTTGCGGCCCTCTCGTGACTCAGGAGTGATAGCATGCTTGCGCTTCCTCTCCCTTGGCTGACGAAAGACATACACTGTCTCACCAGGAAGAAACTTCTAAGGAGGCCGGTTTCGAGAGTTCCGCGCCTTTGACAAAGCAACCTCAGATTGTGACTTGATGTAGGCTTCCTGGGCCGCCTGCCGAAGCTGCAAAAGCCTGCGAACTTCATCTCCAGCACTTTGCACCATGAGCTGAGGATCTAGGGGATCATCTGAAATCATCGAACCTGGCAGGCGCAAACTCCATCCAAGCTGACGCTGCATCGGGCTGAATCCACTTCGGTTGCCGAACCTGTTGCGCGCTGCCTCCACTTCATACATCATCGTTTTCAGTTCCTGCCACGAAGTCACAACACATGCATCTCGCGCCTTCTCAAAGACATGCTTGTAATGGGCTCCAGCACGCTCCGTCTTCCCGTTCTGCCACGGCGATCGAGCCCCAATGTGTCGGACCAGCGTCCCGCACTGCGAAGCTAGCTCAGCAAACTCTCCACGAAACTCCGTTCCAAGATCTGCAATCAGCACTTCTGGAACCCCAAAATGTCCTGACCCACGTGCGCATAAAGGTGCGCCACACGTGGTCAGCAGACATCTCTTTCAGGCGCTCGACCATGGAGTAGCCACTTCCCCAGTCAACGATGTTCAGGGCGGGGAAACTCTCCTGCTTGTTCAAAGCTGGTAAGTACATCACGTCAATGCCAATCACCTGCCCCGGCTGGTACGACTTTGGAAGAACGGCTGGTCGAGCTGGCTTGGGCATCGGCTTTGAGGCGCACGTACTGCATGAAAACTCCTTGGCAGCGAACCTGACTAGATGAGGCTTGCAGTGGGCAATGCGAAGTGTCCGGGCAAAGTCCCGGTTGGAAGGATGCCCCAAGTTCTCATGAACCCGCTTGAGCATTCGAACTTCTTCATCAGTTGGCTTCAGACTCGCGGCTTCAACTCTCTGAACCACAGGGCCAACTTCAAAAGGATCCCCCTCACCATCGCCCTCTGCATCTTCAACAAACGTCTGTGACGGACCCACTGCGCGTACTGAACCATCAAACATTAAAACGTGACTGTCCCCCTGGAGTGCCTCCTGATTCTGATGAAAGGACTGACTGTCCTCCTGGAGTGCCTCCTGATTCTGAGGAAAGCTCGCAATGTCCCCCTGGAGTGCCTTCTGATTCTGATGAAGGTCATTGACCTCCACCTCGTAGCTCGACTCATTGTGCATGGTTGACACCAACTTCTGCACACAATCCAGGACTCCAGTGAACGTGTCCATCTCTGGCTCCAACCGACAAACCAAGTCTCGGCTATTGGACATCACCGCCGCACCTCCGCTGAAGGTTCGAAGTTCACGGCGTCCAAGTAGCAAGGTGTCCTTGGTGAGGTCACACACATCTTGAAGGCAATCGGTAGACAGTAGCATCAGAAAAGGTTTGCCCCGCGCGTCCTGCCACTCTGCAGCTTGACACGCCAACTCCAGTGACTCTGAAGTTTTGTCTGGTCGCAACAGAACCATCTCAGGGGTCCTCTCACCGATCATTTCCCAGAACATCTCTGGAAACATGGGCCACAGCAGACCCACTTCGTGGTCCTCGTAGATCGGGTTGTCGCTCTCTGCAAGACCATACTTTGGTGAAACAAACTCCCACACCTTCCCGAACTTCTCAACATGCCATGCGTTGATCATCTTCTCAGTAGTAGCTTTAAGCTGCTTGTACTTGCCGTTCGGAAGAGCCTTGATCTTGCCAAAGTCCTCGCTCCACATGATCATGCCGCCCTGGTCCTCAAAGATCGCAAGGTAGGCATCGCCGGATGCCATAGTTCTCGGAAGCCACCCAGTTTGCTTGGTCCAACATGACTCGCCCTGGGCCTTCTTATAATACACTCTAGACAATGGCATGCTCCAAGGTGTGGATTTCCCATCCGGGCCAAATGCCCGCATCTGCACTCTCCTTGCCGTAAGCAGCTGAGGCCCTGAGGAAATGCAGCAACACATCCCGGAATCAATCCCCGGAGGAAGCTCACTCATCACTGCTGATTCTGAGGATTGTTCACCATCTCGAAGCCTCCGTTCACTTGGTTGATGTATGATTGCATCCACGCCGCTTGCTGCTGCATCTGTTGCTGGAGCTGGGCAATCTCCTGTTGGTGCCCATCCCTCATACGGTCCATCTTCCGCTCGAACACCATCTCCAGCTCCTCATTCTGCGCGGCCACATACTGCTCGGCTTGGCTCTGGATCCGGCCGATCTCCACATTCATCTTCTGCTCGGCCTCCATCTCCATGTCGGCCTGCTCCTGTGTCTCCGCTGGCCCCATATGTGCTCCCAGGGCCGCCTGCTCCGCCGGGTCCCACATGAAGAACTCGCAAAGCCTCTTCTGGCATCGGAAGAAGTGGCGATTGCATGTCGGGCCGGCCTTCTTCACCTGCCAGCGGTGGGCTGGAACGCCACAGCTGCACATGACCGTCGAAATCGTCGGTGCCGCCTCCTGCTCCATCGCCTTCTTCAGCTCCCACGGACTCAAGTGCTTCCAGCGAGCTTTGCATAGGTCGCAGTAGACATCCTTGCTGTACTGGTTGCCGCCACCCTTCAAGTGAATTGCCGGATGGCTGCACGTCTCCTGGCTGGCCGTGGGTGGAGTCGCCGATTTCCTCGAAGTGAGCTTCGGCGCATACTTTATCACCTGGGCATATTCCAGCTGGTTCTCCGTAACGCCCTTGGATCCGGCTGGCCGCGAGGACAGGGTAGAAGGAGACGGGCCCACTGGACACGGTGGCTGCAACAGCCGTCGCGAGGAATCTGGCAGCCAAGCTTCGACGCGGCCGAAGGCCTCGATGAAGGTTGTGAGGTTGAACAGCTTGTCGCCGAAGATCCTCCAACGCTGCAGAGCCCTTTGCGTCCTCATTTGGGCCGGTGTCCGAGTTGGCGGCTTCCTTCCCGCCCTGATCCTTGGTTGATCCTGATCCCTCTGGGCCATCATTCGATGAAGCAGTGCCTGCGCCATCTTCGGAGTTCCGAGGGAGAGCTTCTTCACAGCTTGCTTTCTCGAGAGAAATCATGCTCTGGTTCACAAAGCTGCAATTGATCAAAGCGAACTGCTCTGTACTAAGTTTCGCAGACTCAGCTTCCCTAGGAATCGACCAGCCACTGGGATCAAATGACATCACATCCACTGCCACATGCCCCGACGGACGTTCACTGAGCCTGGCCTGGGCGTTGTATTTGCGAAGATCCAGAACATCTCGGTCCAGGTCCACCACTGCCCTGAGCTGTCGCAAGAGCTTAATCGGCAAAAGCATCGGGATGTCTTCCTGGACTACCGTCATCTCCAGCAACCCGTTTATCCCTGCAATGCCGACCGGCGCCTCGACGACACCGATAACTGTTGCCTTCCCTCCAACTCCGGTGGCCTGAGCTCGCTTGCCATTCCATCGGATCTTCAACCCCCTGCTTCTCAAGGCTTCTGTCAATCTCAACATGGCCGGCTTCCCTATCAGACCGTCTGCAGTATCCACAATGCCCTCCGTAGATGAAGTAACCACCCCGATAAAGGAATCCGGACTGGCGCTCTTGCCTTGATCTTCTCTGGGACAAACTGTATCCGCGGATCCGGCTGCTCTCTTCCTGCACACAGCATTCATGACGTGGTCAAACAGCGGCACATAGCTCTGGCTCAGCATCGTGCCCTCCTTTTCTGCCGCACTGCCAAAGAAGGTCGACGAGCTCCCCGGGCTCTGCCCTGAGACAAAGAATCCAGACCGCGAGGACGAAGGAGCTCCACTTGAGTTCCCTCGCTGATTGGCCTCATTCTGTCGACCCCGGCTGTCTGGAGGATTGCGGCATTCTTTGGCCCAGTGGCCAAGGCAACCGCAACGAGCGCACCGCGTCCTGAGCTTCAGCATATCGATGTGGACCTTGCCGCCCGAAAACTTGACCTTATCATGGCTGCGAGGGGCCATCATCGGTCGGCCCTTGCCCTTGCCGGTCCCAGCTCCTTTGCCCTTGCTCTTGCCCTTCTCGACTGGATAAAATCCCCGGGCATTCCTTTGATCTCGGAGACTTCTTCTTACTTCTTGATACGTCGCCAGAGCTTCTTGCATCTCTTCTTCGTCGTACACATCCTGTAGCTCCCCGGCGCTCACGTACACATAATCATCATCCTCTTCGCTCTCATAGTCCGCGACGACCTCCGCCGAGTAGATCTCGGCACTCTCCTCGTCGGGCATCATGCCATCTTCGCCTTCTCCTTCTCCAAAGTAAACCTTCTTCTTGTCGTGGACTACTTTCTCGAGCTTCCGGAGGTTCTTCACAATGACAGCCTTATCATACTTACCTTCACACCAGGTCACCAACTGATTGTCCTGAGTCTCAGTCAGATTGGCATGACGGTATATGATGTAACCTGCAGCAACGGGAGGCAAAGTGACACCTTCGCGCTCAAGTTCCTTGAAGGCATGCTCCATCCTTATCACATACTCTGCAAAGCCCTCTCTGCCACTGCGCACCTCACCATAGATCGCTGCCTCCATAGCCTTAGGCAAGCTTGTCTCCAGATGAGGGGCAAAATGCTCCTTCAGCACAGTGAGGACGTTCTCCATGCCCTTCTCGCAGGCTACCTCCTCAAAGGTAAGGCCGTCTGCCGCGGCCCTCGCTGGGCCCGTAAGCTGCCTAAGCAGCTTGGCTCCCCACTTGTTCTTGGGGACCTCCGTCTCGAACTCCCACAGCTTAAGCTCTTTCAGCCATCTCGCAAACGTCTTCTCGGGAAACTTGCCGTCATAAGCTGGTGGCGGTTCTCTGTCCTTCCACGCGCCCTGGCCGCCGGGAGAACTGCTAGAGGCAGGGTTCTCGGCTGCTGGCGCTGTGCTCCCTGAACCTGGTGGCATTCAGAGATCTCTGCTCACAAACCGTGAGCTCCGCTACCACCTGCGGACTGCAGGTGGCTCTGTTCGCTCAACCCAAAGATAAAACTAGAAGACAATTGGCCCGAAAGCATCATCAGCGAAGAGTGTTGCGCTACGTCATAGAATCCAGTGTATAGGGTCATAGAGTCACCGAGTCAAAAGCACGGAGTCACAGAGTCGGAGTGTCACATACAGTCAAGAGTCGTACAAGTCATAGTTCATAGAGTCATCGAGAAATAGAGTCGAGTACATGTCAAGCACAAGTCATAGTTCAAAGAGTCATCGAGTCATATAGAGTCATAGAGTCACAGTGAGACAGAATCATAGAGTCATAGTGTTATAGAGTCATAGCGTCAGAGTGAGAAAGAGTCATAGAGTCATGGAGTCATCTATGTACCACGCACTTGACTTGATGTAGTTCACTCTATGAACACTAATGTTCAGGTTTAGCGGGTTTAGAGTATAGTCCAACATGACGCAGAAGTCTTCCTTTCCTAGCTCCGGAACCTCACTATATAGACATCCCTGATTACTGTGGTTTCAACGTGACTCTATGACTCTATGCATGGTCACTTTATGTCGCAGCAGTAGTAGTAGTAGTAGTAGTAGTAGCAGTAGTAGTACTAGCAGTACCAGTACTAGTAGTAGTGATAGTAGTGGTAGTCGTAGTAGTTGTAGTAGTAGTCGTCGTCGCGTAGTCGCAGTCGTAGTCGTAGTAGTAGTAGTAGTTGTAGTTGTTGTTGTGGTACTAGTAGTAGTAGTAGTAGTAGTAGTAGTAGTAGCAGTAGTAGCAGTAGCAGTAGTAGTGGTAGTAGTAGTGGTAGTAGTAGTAGTAGTAGTAGTAGTAGCAGTAGTAGTAGTAGTAGTAGTAGTAGTATTCTTTTGTAGTAGTGGTAGTAGTAGCAGTAGTAGTAGTAATAATAGTTGTAGTAGTGGTAGTGGTAGTAGTAGTACTAGTACTAGTTCGAACACTCGACAACGCCAATCTCTGTGAAGGGTTGCAAGTTTCACCTCAATGCACATCAAAAGTAATAACTTTACCTCGCGTTCGAACACTCGACAACGCCAATCTGTGTGAAGGGTTGCAAAATTCATCTCAATGCACATCAAAAATTGCAACTTTACCTCGCGTTCGAACACTCGACCACGCCAATCCCTGTGAAGGGTTGCAAAATTCATTTCAATGCACATCAAAAATTGCAACTTTGCCTCGCGTTCGAACACTCGACCACGCCAATCCCTGTGAAGGGTTGCAAAATTCATCTCAATGCACATAAAAAATTGCAACTTTACCTCGCGTTCGAACACTCGACCACGCCAATCCCTGTGAAGGGTTGCAAAATTCATTTCAATGCACATCAAAAAATGCAACTTTACCTAGCGTTCGTGCATTCGACCATGCCAATCCCTGTGAAGGGTTGCAAAATGCCAATCCCTGTGAAGGGTTGCAAGATGCAGTTGAGCTGCGCCCAAACCCTGTGAAGGGTTGCGCGGCGCCCGCAAAATGTGTAACTTTACCTCGCATTTGAACGCCCGAGGAGGCGAATCCCTGTGAAGGGTTCACGGCGCCCGAAAAAATTGTAACTTTACCTCGCGTTTGAACGCCCGAGGAAGCGATTCCCTGTGAAGGGTTCACCCGCGCGCCTAAAGTGTGTAACTTTACCTCGCGTTTGGGCGCTCGAGAGTTCCAATCCCTGGGAAGGGTTGCGCCGGGCGCCTAAAATGTGTAACTTTACCTAGCGTTTGGGCGCTCGAGGAGGCGAATCCCTGGGAAGGGTTGCGCCGGGCGCCTAAAATGTGTAACTTTACCTAGCGTTTGGGCGCTCGAGGAGGCGAATCCCTGGGAAGGGTTGCGCGGGAACCCTAAAATGTGTAACTTTACCTAGCGTTTGGGCGCTCGAGGAGGCGAATCCTTGGGAAGGGTTGCATTCCCGATGGACGACAACGGTGCCACCCCTGGCTTTAGAAGAGAGAATTAGATACCGAGATGTAGAGAGTAAGTCATAGAGGCATAGAGTCAAGTAAGTAAGTAAGTAAGTAAAAGTAAGTAAGTAAGTAAGTAAGTAAGTAAGTGTAAGTAAGTATAGAGATAGCATAACATAGAGTCCAGTGTCAAGTGTCAAGTAAGTAAGTAGAGTGAAGTAAGTAAGTAGAGTGAAGTAAGTAAGTAAGTAAGTAAGTAAGTAAGTCGTAAGCATAACATAGAGTCAAGTGTCAAGTGTAGAAGAGTCCAGTGTCAAGTGTCAAGTAAGTAAGTAAGTAGAGTGAAGTAAGTAAGTAAGTAAGTCGTAAGCATAACATAGAGTCAAGTATCAAGTGTAGAGTCAAGTATCATAGAGTCAAGTGTCAAGTGTAGAGAGTCAGTCATAGAGGTCAAGTAAGTAAGTAAGTATCAAGTGTAGAGTCAAGTATCAAGTGTAGAGTAAAGTATGGAGTCAAGTAAGTTGATTCTATGTCTGTCATCTATGTACTCAACTGCGGCGTTCCACACGGAAGAACCCTTCGCGATGCTTTCGGGAACTGTTCAACTCTCGCTCAAGCTCGTTTTCACCTGCATCTGTCCATCAGCGTTCCATCAGGCTAACAAGGGGCCCCTGTAATTGAGATAAATGCAACGGGCAAAAGTATGTGAGTTCCATGAAGGGCACACTCTGCACAAATCACAAGAGAGCTTGTATTTCAGGCGTCCAGGCCAGGGTTAAGGGTTTGCTCGAGCTTGCATTCGCGCGAGCTTGCATTCGGGCTTTACGGCAGGGCTTAAGGTGACGTCACTTAGAGGCTACCGCTTCAGCTTGAGTGTGCCTATACTCTGAACCAACAGCCATTTCAGAGCACCTTGCCCGTGCTGAGTCTAGTCGAACGACTTCCTTCCTGCACCCCAAACCCTGAACCCTAAACCCTAACTACCCTAAACCCCAAACCCCAGACCTTCCAATCTACACTCCGAAACCCTAACCCCAACACCTTAACCTGTCACGTTATTTACCATCATCGAACTTGCTTTAAAGGAAGCTGCTATAAAGGAACCTACTCTAATTATTAAGGATCCTTTACTACGGCACCGAAGCCGGGCGCGCCTGGGTCTGTTCCCAGGCCATGCGGCAACTCGGGTCGGAAGGTCATACCTGGGTCGTGAGGCGCCGTACGGTTTAGGGTTCAGGGTTTTAGGGCTTTTTTTTTAGGGTTTAGGGTTTAGAGTTCACAGTTTAGGATGTGAATGTAAGGTCCAACCCACGATGAGCCTTGTTGCTGCTGGAGGACCGGCAAGGTTATCATACGATCAGGTTCGCTATTCTTGTTCGTTGCAATCTTATTCTCTGTCCCATGTTGATCCTTCTAAATGCGTTTGATCACGGTTTTGTGCGGGAAACTTGAAACCCTTACCCTCGGACTGCAGAATCCATGATCTACGATTCGGCGATTCACCTGATGTGCGCTTGGCCTTGCTGAGCTTCTTAGAGCTTGGCTGGTTTAATCTCGGGCTCGGATTGTGCTTTGGCTTCGTCTGGGTGCACTTGGAGGCTCAGGAGACTCAGTAAGTAGGGACATAACTACTCGGAGGCCCAGGGGACTTAGTAAGTAGCTTATAAGTAGGGTTATAGTTGGGGTAACTCCATTTGGGGTATCTATAACCCCACTTATAACCTACTTACGAAGTCCCCTGGGCCTCTAAGTAGGGTGCTTCGCACCCAGGCAAGAACCTGCTTCCTAAGTTCCCTGCTCCTCTAAGGGAAAAGGGCAGTTCAAGGTTTTGCGAGGAACTGACCTAGAAACCTAAACCCTAAGCCATGATCGCTAGGGATCTCAGCTTCAGCGATTTGGCTAGACATGATATATGGCTATATACTGTAATGTAATATCATATACTGTACTATAATACAATATAATACAAAAGAATACAATATACTACAACGTAATACAAGATAGTACAATATAGTACAATATAACACAATATAATACAATATACCTCCACACCGGAGATCGACAGCCACCAAAACGTTATCGGGTTCAGGGCCAAGGCATTCAACCCTTGGGGCTTTGTGCCTTTGGGACTTGGTACTTGTGAGTCGTTCAGTGAACCCCAGGTAGCATAGATCTGCTACGTGAACGCCCCTAGCTGCATCAAAGCCTCGACCCTACAGCAAACCGAAAGGTTTGCGTAGTTGTTGAATTGGGCTAAGGCTTCAAGAGTCCGAGTGTAAAGGATTTAACTCTATGGTTTAGGGTTTGGGGGCTGCAGCTGCTGGTAGGCGGCTGTTTCTGGCGCTTCCTGCTGGACAAAGCATCGCACTACGCGTACTCAGTCTCAGAGAGCTCTGTACAGTTTTGGCTTCATGAGGGGGGTGTGAACTGCTTAAGGTGAGAATGGGGTTGGAGATCTGCTGAAGGCATAGGATGCAAAAATACTCATACATGTTCTGCTTCTCGGCCGCTGAAATCCAAATGGCTGCAGTTCGGTCAAGAAGGCACTCGTCAAGAATACAGTGTTTAGACACTGAACAATGCGACCAGATACAGCACCTGCTGCACAGGTTGCACAGCAACGCTCGTCCATACATGGACAGACACCGAGAAGCTCGGCGCTGTTTTGGCATTCGTCGCTCATTGCAGAAGTCACAAGAGGTCGGCACAGCAAAGACTTTTCCTTCTACCCCAATTGGAGCTCCCCATGAGGACTCTGAAAGCCCGGATGATCCTGCGTGACTGCATTCCGCACAATCGCAAAGGACGTCCGAGTGCAGCTGCACATCGTCGAATCAGCACGGTGTGCATTGGAAGAAAGACACAACTCAGGTGTTTATGGTACAGCTGAGACTTAAGATAGAGTAAGACATGCTGCATGGCTCCAGACAATCCTCCAGATCTTTCATCTTGCTTCTACATCAATGTCCACTTTATCGGTCCAATAATCTGCTAACTCTCTGATCACACTTGTTCTGAGACAATCATTGCTCGAAAGCAAAACAGCCAAGGAAAGGTGTTCAGCGCTATGATTCAACAGGTTTTAAGCATGACCTGATGTACAATGCCGTAAACTCTATAGGTAACCAACCCGTCCTTTCTTGCAACACATGATGTGCTCCCTCTGTCGATTCCAGCCGCTCCCGGCTACACCGCGATATCGAAAAGATCATACACAAGTGATGGCAATAGCCAGGTGCCATGGTAATAACTAGGCTACCATAGGGTTACCGCCGGGGTTTCGACAGGGGTTAAGATTGTAAATGGTAGTGAGCTTATGGCCCATCCTAAACCCTAAACCCTAAACCCAGAATTCCCCTAAACCAGAGAGCCGGGTTAAATCACCCTTCTCACCGGACAGGAACTCCGCAGCACCCGCACCATGACCTTTCGAGAGAACTAGCGGTGATACTATGAGCCATGCAGCGAGACGAACAGCAAAGCCCCGCACTCATGGAAGCACCCGAAGCCCCGCGCGTCGAAGAAGATGATCGCAAACCTGCGGAAGAAAAGCAAGGCAAGCGCGTGCGAGTGCTAGCAGGTGGCATGCAGAGCCAAGCACCCTAAACCCCAAACCCTAAACCCTCTACCCAAGAGCGTGCCCGGCTCCTCACTTGCTTTCCCGGGTGCGGCGCAGCGGCGGCTTACTCTGAGCCTCCGCGGCATGTTTTGACTGCAGGATCCTCCCTGGAGAGGGTTTTTTCAATCGCATCTGTTCTGTTTTTTTTTAATATGAGGCAGATATAAAGTCGAGAAAAGCATGCAGGATTTTTCGCAAACTTGCTTGTAGCACCCTTACATCTGAAGCTGTCAACTTCAACAGTCTCAAAGCACAGCACCTGTCGCGCTTCTGTGGCCGATGCCCGCTCTTGTTTCCTTCAAACCGAACTGCGACCACAAAAACATGCTATGTAGTATTCTGCTCGCTGTTGAGGAAGCACTGAGCTGCTCCATGTTCCCTAACAATCAGACTGTATGGTTTAGGGTTTAGAGTTTAGGGCTTTGTTTTGAGCACCTTTTTCCACCTAGCAGTTAAGGTCGGTAGAATCCACATGTTGTGGAAGGCATAGAGTTTAGGGTTTAGGGTTCTGTTCATCTAGGGCTTGAAGGTTTAGGGTTGCCCGGGAGGCCATATGCACATGCGCCCAATGGCAAACTGGCAAAACCGGCATCCGTCGCAGTGCATACCACTGCCTGCGATAATCAGGCCATCGGTTACAAGATCGGCGCACCCACGGTTTAGGGTTTAGGGTTTAAGGCCTCAGAAACGCGCATCCGCACCTACAGAGCATCAAGATTGATGAAGGGAAGAGAGCTCGCCCGGATAGGATTTGAGTCACGTGATCACATCTGGGTTTGTGATGGCGAAACTAAATCTGAAAGCCTCGTTGGTTGCAGAATTAGCCCTGAAGGTCCTCAAGAACGAGAACAAAAAGACTCAGGATATTCTCGGACTGGGCAATCAAGGGATAGAATACTCCCTGAAATGCTTTGGTGTAATTTGCGGGTGCGCACTACATGGATACTCTACCGGAAACTTTGGGCGTTTCGGGGGTGAACAATCCAGGGAGTCTTTAAGGGTAGCCATTTCAGGGATAATCTGCGGGACAACGTATGTGACAATTGGCACTCAAGGAACACTCTGCAAACGAGGACAGTGAGAGGAGCAGTATTTATTCGGTAACATCGAGTCTAGCACTGCGGTACCACAGCACCTTTTCAATGTGCTGCAAGTCTTGCTCCTGGCCGCATCTGCAGCTCTGCTAAAATAGAGGAGAGATTTTCTAGCCCACTGCAAGCACGCAGGCAGTGCTCGCATGATGTGCTCGCCTAGAGTGAAACAAGTCCGAGAAAAGATCGTCATCAAAGCCCGGTAGCGATAGATCCGATTGAAAATCAAGCGATGGAGAAGGCCTGGGGGTTCTGAAAGGTGGATGTTGCGGTGGGCGCGCACTAAAGCGCTCACGCGTGCATAGCTCCACGCCTGAGTCGAGAGACAATGGCATCAGACAGCACGAACATGAAAGAAGACTGTAGTGGCGTGTTGCATACGACAGGTGTAGATTTACATAGTTAAGATACGCCTATACATATACATATAGATATATACATATATACATATATATATTCACATATAGACACATGCACAAACAAACAAACCAGCAAGCAAGCAAACAAACAAGCATACATACATACATACATACATACATACGTACATACATACACACACACACACATATACATACAGATACACACCCATGCACATTCAAACGGTAAGACTGTGTTTTCGTTGCTGTCGTTGTTTTTGCTGTCGTTGCGGGCCGCTTCTTTTTGGCTGTCGTCGCAGGGGCACGTTGTTTTGTTTGCTGTCGTTGCGGGGGCGTGTTGCTGTTTTTCTTTGCTGTCGTTGCGGTCCCCGGCGTGTTCCTTGTTTTTTGCTGTCGTTGCGCTTCCCGGTGCTACTATTACTCACCGAAAACTACTGCTACTCACCGGGAAGCGCAACGACAGCAACAAAAAACGCGCTGCGGACCGCAACGACAGCGAAGAACAAAAACTTACCCCTGCAACGACAGCAAAGAAAAAAAGCGCCCCGGGGGACGACTGAAAAAATTGAAATAAAAGAAACAGCGCGCTCGCAACGACAGCAAAACAAAAAAACACTCTTACCGATGGGAACCAGTCTTTTTCTTGCTGTCGTCCCCCGAAGCGCGTTTTGTTTTGCTGTCGTTGCGGGTACCGGGGTTCACTCACTCACTGGATTGTTACGTCCGCAGAGCGAGAACAAAACCAACATAAAGCCACGACAGCAAAAGAAAACACGGGTTCCCGCATTCACATACGCATCCACATCCGCGCACGCATGCGCATACGCACATTCATACGCATAGGCATATACATACAAGTGCACATACATACACTTATACATATACATATGAATGTGCATATGAATGTGCATATACATATACACATACACATTCATATACATACTAATGTTCATATACATATGCACATACAGATACATACACATAGACATACACACATACACACATACGCACATACGCACATACACACATACACACATACACACATACACACATACACACATAATTACACACATACACACATACACACATAAACACATACATACATACGTACGTACAAACATACATGCATGCATACATACATAAATACATACATACATACATACATACATACACTCAAGCAGACAACAAAAGTGACATAGTCTATCTGTCCCACGAAAATTGGTTGCTAGAGAACCTGCCAACTGGAACATAAAAAGATACAAGCTTGTCAACGGCGAGTGACCGTCGTAGAGCGTCCTCGGTGCATGATCCAGCACATCAAGGACAAGCTTTGCCCCATTTGGAAGCTCCATGTTCAAGAACTTCCGAACATCCGCGGCCGAAAGTAAGAGGTCAAAGTAGCCGACCTCCAGGGCTGGCAATGTAGACACTGAAAATTGCGAAGGTGTGTCGTAGATCCTAAATACCTAGCAGGTACAGCTTTGCTGAGTTTTCGGTCAAGAAGTAGCCGACCTCCCCAGGCTTCCCCGGGACGTTGATCACGGCCGCCTCGACGGTGCGCTTCCTGATATGGTTTGTTAATTTGAGGGCGTGATTCACCAAGTCGATGCTAAACTGGATCTCATAAACGTCGGAGGTGGACCGCTGATTATTCACCCCGCACACACACGTCTGCCGGAGCCGCTGACCAGACCCCAAGCCCAAGAACTCGAAGGCTTGACGCGAGATGCAGGTATCTGCGGTGTTTCCACTGTCCAGGTGCAGGATGAACCTCTGCATGTGCGACGAATCCGCCACATGAGGATATCCCTTCACCCAGCCATGAGTCCGCGGACACCAATAGTTGGCTGATCCGCTGTATATCATGCCAGTGGTCCAGCTGGGAAGTGGAATGGTGACATTTCCACGCATCCTCTTCGCTGGAGGCTCCTGCGCCCGCCCCACTGCAACTTCCGCGGCTATGGGGCGAAGGGCCAACGCCGCTGCGCGCGCCGCCCCTTCTTTGTCAGCTTTCTTGGCGGTTGCAGAATCTATGGCATGTTCTTGAGATTCGATCATCTGCTGAAGCAGATGCAAATCACGGCTTTTTTGTAGGTTTGCCTCCGACCCCACGCAAACTTGCGACAGCAATGCCTGCTGCCGCTCTCGCAGGACTTTCATCTTCTGCACCTCTGCTGCGCACTCCTGAGATGCTGCCTTGAAAGCTGCATCGGCCGCAGCTTTCTTCTCATGCAACGACATTGCGGCAACGATCCAAGCACTCCCCCTAAACTCGGTAAACATGAGCCGGCTGGCAGCACAGCAGTTTTTGGCGAATTCGTGCTTCATTGAAGGATGGTTGAGAGTTTCAACTCTCAGCTTCCGTATGAAACCGTTACCCATAGGCCCCATAGTAGTTCCTTTTTGGGATTACCTTATAGGATTCTATGTATGAACCACAAAAAGGAACTACTTTGAGGCCTATGGGTATGCGGTATTCTCCAAATCTACATGCAGAAATCTTCTGACAAAGCCCCGCCTTGTCGATGTTGACCAATGCTGGCCAGTGCTGTGACATCCGATACCTGAAACCGGCAAGGTGCTTGGCCTTCGTAATGGGAGTAAGGGTAAAAGTAATAGCAATACATAGCAACAATAATTCAATAGCAATAATTGTAACGACAACTGAATAAGTCCTAGCCTTAGCCTTAGCTGACGGGGTCGGGGCCTTACCATAGACAGGGGCCCGAAGAACTCGACTAGGTATTGGTGTCTTTTCCCCTAGACATACTCGGGAACCACGAAGAATGTACGATGAACTGTTCAGGTTCCTTTCAAACTCTACTCATCCAATGCATAAACCCAGCCCTAAACCCTAAACCCTAAACTGGCCCCCCTAACCCTGAACCGTAAACCTACCATAAATAGTTCCCGGAGCGCCTGAACCTCCAAGCTGCCCCCGGAAATGGGTCCGCTACCGGTAGCAAAACTGAAACAGCACGTCTGTTCTTGAAAACGTGCTCGGGGACCTTATCTGCTGGCTTGAGCCACGAAGTCAAGTATGCAGTTCACAACCGTCGTGCCCAAAGCCTATCCGGATCTGCAGTCTTGTTTGGCAGTCCTACTCTCACAAAACAGCTGTGCCTGCTGGCATGAACTTGACGAGGTGGACGCATTGGGGCTACTAACTACTCTGCCTCGGTATGCCAGTCGGGCGACCGCACTTCTCACTGGAAGACTAGCAAACTCGGGCCTGGCATCAACCAGCATGTCAAGAACTAAGCAGCCAAAGCATATTCGGTCTTTCGTGCATCGTCCAATGCCCGGTCTGTTCTGTTGATTGGGTTGCGCTGCAACGTGCTGCAGAACTCTCATCTGCACGCTCGGTCTCTGCTGTTGGTCTGGTTGCGCGCTCCAACCTCTCATCTGCACCATCCTTTCAGATTTGCAGCCATGCCAACATGCAAAGCAGACAAAGCGGACTGCGGGCCTCTAGAGCCGATGCCTTCTTGTGGAGGAGACCAAATGTGGGAAAGTAGCTTCTTGCGGTTGGCTTCATGGCACTCAGTGTGAAAGCATGGGATATAGAACTGTCTCGAGCGCCCAAGCATCCGACCCATGCCATGGCTTTGACATGCGAAGGCGAACCTTAGCCGCAATGTGCTGTATGGACGCAAGTGAAGGCTCACCTTTCCAGGGCTTGATGGTGCTGGATCAGGGTGCACAACGGCGCCTGCTCATTTACGGCTACAAAATCGCCTGCTCAATCGCGAGCAAAGGAAGTCTCACACTTCACCTCAACCTTCCAAACGCAGTGCGAGGCAGGAGTGCTTTGCTCCCGTTCTGCCTCTCTCCTGTGCTCCAGTTCAGCTCCGGTATCTACAAACACGTGTGCACAGAGGAAGCACGAGCCCGGTCACTCTGAAACACACCTTTCCAGGCCACCTCTTCATCTACGGCTACCAAATCGTCCGCTCAGTCGTGCCGAGCTTAGACACAGTGTTTCACACTTCACAGCCCCGGCAACCCTGTTCAGTGCTGCAAGGCAGGAGTGCTTCTGCACCTCTTCTGCCTCTGACTGTCTCCCGCGTTGCTCAGCTCTGATAATCACACCGGTGCAGGGCTCAGCATGTGCGAGCCGGGCACTCTGCAACACAACTGCGCAGCATCGGAACTTACAGGTTCCTGCTGGGTCAACCTGCACCAGATGCTCGTATTGCTCGTAGCGAAACTTCGACAAGCAGCTGCAGAAGCTCGCGTCACTTTGTAATATCTCAAGAGGGTGAGGGGTTACTGGGGCGGCTGTGCTTTCGGTGAACCACACGGGAGTGCAGCTGAGCATGCCCCAACAATGCGTTTGCAACCACCCCCGCAGGACACCGCTGTAGAGGATGGGAAACTGTATGTGTTGCACCGTGTGTCATTAGTCGGCATCAACGCGACTTGTGACCCCTGCTCCTTACGGCCTCCGTCAACTGCAAGATAATCATATTGTCAAGTGTTCTGCTTCTCTCAACTGCCTCAAAACACCTCGCATAGGCTGAGTCTTGCAGGTCACAGCTAAAATTGCCTCGTCCAGGCTAAGTTCAGATCATGGGTTCACGCTCCTTTTTGTTGCAGATGTGGGCCTGGCTTCGAGAAGCCACGCCAGGCGCCGCTGAGTACATGCCAGCCCTCTGCAGAAGATTCACTTGGAGTAAAGTGTAGCACGTACTCGAAACAGCCTTCGGACGTCCACGTTCATCCCTGGCATCAGCGTGAACGAACTTCAACGGGCTGCATCAGGCCTGCCAAAAAGTCATACTGATCCAAGTGCTGCTTTCTCTCTTAGATGGCTCCCAATACTCTGCAAAGTCTTGGCTTCGCAAGCGGTCACAGCCGCAGCTGCCTTGACCAGGCTTGCCCAGCAAAGCCATCTGTGAGGCAGGAGCGTGTTGATGATGTGGCCGTGCTCTTTAAGCCTTCTTCTTGCACTATTAGCCCCATCCCCCGCCGTAGCGTCACTGACGCAGCTGCAATTTCGAGCTGCCCTTCCAGCACACATGTTGGGTGCCTTGGAATGCTGCTGTTCATGCCGGGTGTCAATGCGACAAAATGCGAGCGGATCATGACGGGGCCACGTCAATCGCTACCACATGCTCAAATTAATAGAAATGCAGACTGGCTGTTTTGCAAGGTCTCACTCTGGTCAGTCACTGCCACAGCTGTCCTGTCCAGCCCTTGTTTGAGGGACCTTGCACCGCGGGACAGCGTTGATAACACTTTCATACCTTTCACTGCTCCAGTTGATGTGGGCCTGGCTTCGAGAAGCCACGCCAGGCGCCGCTGAGTACATGCCAGCCCTCTGCAGAAAATTCACTTGGAGTAAAGTGTAGCACGTGCTCGAAACAGCCTTCGGACGTCCACGTTCATCCCTGGCATCAGCGTGAACGAACTTCAACGGGCTGCATCAGGCCTGCCAAAAAGTCATACTGATCCAAGTGCTGCTTTCTCTCTTAGATGGCTCCCAATACTCTGCAAAGTCTTGGCTTCGCAAGCGGTCACAGCCGCAGCTGCCTTGACCAGGCTTGCCCAGCAAAGCCATCTGTGAGGCAGGAGCGTGTTGATGATGTGGCCGTGCTCTGTTGTGTTCCAGTTGATCTGTTTCGATCAGCCGTGCCCCACACACACCATCCATGTACACTTGTCGGACAGGGCGCAGCTACAGTGACTTGGTGCAGCCTTGGGGTGTCTACAAGTTCATTCCTGCTGTCAGCGGGCTGTGTCAACCTCTGCCAACTGCTCATGAACACTCAGACCTATGTCCTCGAGATGCAGAAACTACCATCAATGTGAAACTTCTCCCACTTGTGCGGGATTACTGGGGTAGTTGCATTTTTGCTGCGCCGCATCGGCTTTCGATCAGGCCAATCCCATGATTGACCCTGCAGAACATAGCTGGCCAACTGTGGTTAAACGGAATGCTCTTCTTAAACTTTGCATCTGGCAGGATCGTAACCTGCTCTTGACTTGCTGCATCCGCCTCTGCCAGACCCTCAAATCAATACAACTTCTAGTTTCTCCGTAAATTGCCTCGAAACATTTTGCATGGCCTCAGTTTTGCAAACGGTCAAGGCAATGGTGCTAAGCTCAGAAGAGCCCATCTCTGTGACCGGAGTGCTTGGATGATAATTTCGTGCCCGGTGTTCGGTCAGCCAGGCCAGACACGACTGAGAAGGTGCGACCCTTCTGACCTGCAATCCTGCTCGGCAGATACAGCCGAGAACCTGCCAGCAATGTGGTGCAGCCTGAGCATGCCTGAATTTTTCCATCGTGTCAATGTCACCTGTTCGTGCCTTGCAGCGTCCCCATCTCTTCCAAAGTCCTAGACAATTAAAGTTGATTCGTTTCTCCAAGCTGCGCACAACTGCCTTCCATCCCATGCTGAAGAGACCGTCCTATCTGGTTGTCAGTAGCCTCCGGAGCCATCGGGGTCAGGGTACTGCCTACTTTCAGATGTCAGGGCCCATGGACGTCGTGCGGAGTATCTGCCGACCGCTGCAGAACGCCAGTTCCATTTGTGACAAACTGCTCAGCAACGATGCGTCGACCGAAAACTTGCCGAGTATCCGTGAAGAACCGGACGGTCCACGGGTGGCGATGGCAGACAACCATCGGCAATTGGCGATGCATGTGCTAGGGGATTGCACATCGCGAGTGCTGCTGCACGAATCATGTAAACCTCAGCGTAGCTGTTTTGCTGAGCACGCGCTTTCCTAGTCTCGCATCTTCTTCAGGCCATAGACATGCCTCCGCAGTATGTAAGCGTTGAATACTCCACGAGCTTCGCAACAGGTAACAAGCTAGACGACATCTCCCTTCTGCAGGAGACATTATGAAAGTGAAGGACAAGCCTTCGTCTCCCTTCCTTTAGTGTGCCTGCACAGGCTGCAAATGCAGCAGACTTTGTGAGTGAAGAAAACATGCCTAGCCGTGCCGCTTCACAGGAACCCAACTGGATTCGGTCGCTTATCCAAGCCGGCGTTGCTGGGCTTGCTACTTGAGAGGCATCGTCTCATCAAGGAAAATGCGCGCGAGAATCTTGATATCATGGAAGCACCGATGCTCTCAACAAACCTGAGCTTTTGAAAGCTTGATGTAGCACGACAGACCGTTCCGCTGCAACTGCAAGCAAACACTTGTGTCATGTAAGCTTTCCGAAGCATCGACAACCGGCGCATCAGAACTCTGCAGACAGCAGCGCTGCGGCGAATCACCGCCGT